CCCCAGATGATTGATCTATTATCTTTAAGCAGAGAAAATCTCTCTATTGCCAATAACTGCTTCGGTAAGGTATTCTCTGTTATTTTGTAAACAATGTAAAATTAAAGACATCATTATAGAATGTATATTTTCTACCAAGAGGAAGATCGGGGTTGACTTTCTAAGCATTTTAGTATATTTGGTAATCTCCATGTTAGCTAATTTTGGTTGGATCAATTTGTAAGTTATATACCCAGTATAGCACTGCAAGCACATAGATTGGGGTCAAAGGTATCTCTATTGGTGTGCTAGCTGCTTTCTATATACTTCTGTGGATTTGTATACGAGATAGAGAATTGAGCAAGAAGAAGAAGAGGAGGTTGTATGGACTAGGACTAAAAATTGAAGACAACAAAGTTGTATGGGCTTACCAGGCAGTGATGAGCTTGCAATTATCAAAGATCTATACCAACTATACATAAGTTTCATAGCTCACACTGGATTCAGATTCATTCTCTAGTTTCCTCAGACTGGATTTTCTCTGGATTTCTTTGGTACTCAGAGAAATTTCAATTCTCTCTGGTTTGAACCCAGAATTTCTCTGGGAAATTGACAGAGAAATTCTCTGAAGGATTTCTCCGGAAAATTTCTCTGGGCAAAGAATTTCTCTGGGAAATTCCCAGAATTTGTCTGGGTTGGATTGAATTTTCTAGCAGCATCCTGGTTATATGATTATGAATTACAAATTCTTCAATTCTGCCAAAAGATTTCGTTAATGTTACTGGATGTGTGGAACCTAAGGAAAATTTCTTTAATGTTCAACATGCCAAAAGATCCATGCTTGAAACCAGAGAAATTCTTTGGATCAACCCAGAGAGTTGAACCCAGAGATGTTGCCTTCCATAATATATACCTTTGACTCTAACAACCAAACAATGCAGAAAGCTGAGAATTTAATTACCAGAGCTAGAGCTAGATGAAACGAGAGTGAGCCAAGCAAGAAGAAAACGAAGCAGCATTAGAGTTCGCATCTTCTCTCTTCTTCACATCTTTCGGGGTAACATGCCAAAAGATCCATGCTTGAAACCAGAGAAATTCTATGGATCAACCCAGAGAGTTGAACCTAGAGATGTTGCCTTCCATAATATATACCTTTGACTCTAACAACCAAACAATGTAGAAAGCTGAGAATTTAATTACCAGAGCTAGAGCTAGATGAAACGAGAGTGAGCCAAGCAAGAAGAAAATGAAGCAGCATTAGAGTTCGCATCTTCTCTCTTCTTCACATCTTTCGGGGTTCAAGATTGTGCTGCTGGTTGTTGGTGTAAAAAAAAAAAAAAAAAGAGATACACACACAGCAACACACAAGCTCCCTCACTCTCTCGGTGATGGTCTCGTCCTCCGCCGACTTCTTCTTGCAGATCATGCAAATGCCGTCTTCGTCGCAGGGGAGGTTGCTAGAGTGCGCCATTGAAGAAGGAAAGGCAGGCCGGGTTCCGATGATCATCTCAGCTCTCCATGATCGATCTGTATTTCAGAAACAGAGTGATGATGATTGCGTTTCCAATCACGAACAGTGAACTCTGTGTGTGTGCGTATTTGATCGTGGTGATGAGTGAGAGTAGAGAAAATGAAGGGGGCTGAATTTCTCTGTGATAGATGGGAGAGACCTTAGACATCAAAAAATAATATCGTGGATCTCTTTCATTACGAAAAGTGGGAGAGGGACCGTAGACCAATTTTCCCTTTATTTTATTATAGACTGTAATTGATGGTGGAGTAATATTTTATTTGAGTTATAGTTTGAGAGAAAAATGATATTTTGTAAAAGTGAAATTTCAATAAAAAAAATGTAAAAAAAATAGTCCGTGGAAAATAAAAAATAAAAAAATATTAATAAATTTGCATAATTATTTGACCTCACCAAATTTAAAAAGGTTGATTACCTCAACCCCCCATAATTTGGATCTGAGGGTACTGTTTGGGCCCGTGAGGCCCATCACGGTTTCTAAATTTGAATCCAATCCATTAATTTTGTGTATTTCATTAACACAAAAAGATAGAGCAATCCGTGGTGGTCACCAACAAAATGTATAAACTTGGTGTATTTAAAATTAAATCATCACTTTTTGTAATGACAAATGCGATAATTTGAAAAGATTATGATCATTTTAGGGACCTAATTTTTAAAAAAAAAATAAAATACACCTAAATTATTTAATTCTGATTATCAAAACGGGATCAATTGGGCCTCAAAAAGTCCAAACAATACGGTCCAGTCCAGATTGTGGACTGTAGGCACTCCACCTCCATTAAAATAGTTATATTTTGTTTCCAAAAAAATAATATAAGACTTCTTAAAACTCCACACAGTCTGTGCGTGTTTCCAAAAAAAACAAATTGAAACTTCCTACAAAATCAAAACATGCTTAATTTGGCCACCCAAAAACTCCCACAGAAACATATGTTTTGGGGTTTTGGCATATCATTCTTCTCTCTCACGTTGCTGGTCTCAAATTCCCTCACCCTGCCAGTCTGATATTGTGTCTGTATCAGCCACTGTTTGATCCCACAATAGAGCTGTTGCTGCTGCCACCACAACTATTAGCCAACACCTTCATGCTGTGGAGACCTACGGTATGTTCTTTTTTTTTATTGTTGATATTGTTTGAGTCCAGGGTTTGCTGTGTTTTTTGGAGACTTAGTTGTTTTTGATGAGTTATATATGATGAAATACTCATGTTTTTGTTCATATTGCATATACAATACCCATTCGAATAAGAAAATTCTGAACTTCAAAATCTTCTACTATCCCTTTCTTACTTTTCTCCATAATAGGTAGGTTAGAGTTTTAAATTTCTCTGTCATTGAAAAGTGAAAGGAATTTCAGATTGTGCAGTAAGAAAACAGGGGAAAACAGAGGAATCAAAGTAAGCCTAATTTCTGCTAGGATATTCATTGATTATAGTCTTACCCCATATTGTCAAATCTATCACAGTATAACTACAAACTCTCAACTCAAGAAATAGTGAAACCACAAAAACCAAAAAAAAAGTACAAAGGGAGAGACTAGTTTATAGCACAACAAAACCAGAAATTGATACCTCATTGTCACTGGAATAGTTATTTTAAAAATTTTATTTATGATAGTCATTAATTTGTACAATCCTTGAATTGGAAGAGAATGATTTGGAGTTAAAAAATGAGCGCAACAGAGGACCTAAATAAGCTACATATACCCATCCGAGACTCAAAACAACTCAGCCGTAGCAGTCCCCTAAGGTACCCACAACAATCCCCTAAGCTACATATAATTGGTATCAACTAGCAGCAGCAAAATGGCCCAAAACAGAGAAGAACAACACCAGCATCTAGCCACAGCAACTTGAACCAGCAGCAACACCACCTGTACTTTAAACATTATTTGACCTGATTTGCTGCAAGTTGCAGATCCTAGACTAAATAAGAACACCCCTTCAAATGAGCATTGATCCAAAATGCCACTCTCACCATAATCAACTCACCGAAGTCAGCAAGGCAAAAAGCCTGGACTGCATAAGAACACCCCTTCAAATGAGCATTGATCCAAAATGCCACTCTGACCATAATCAACTCACCGAAGTCAGCAAGGCAAAAAGGGTATCCACTACGTCCCTCGTTGGTCGTCATGTGATGATGTAAATAGTCCAATCTTTAACAACTTTTTCTTTTTTTGTTATTTTTTCTGGGTGTCCAATTGTACCATGATGAATTTGTTATTCCTAACAAACAAAGACAGTGATTCCAACTTCCAGAAATTTATAAAATGGGACCTATTTAAGCTTCCAAACAATTTGTAAAATGGGACTTTACAGATTAACAAAGAAGTCATGGGAACAAGTTAATGCCATGGGATTTTCACTAATTTTCCCTTACAAAATGGAGAGGGATGGAAATTATCACTTTGAAGATGCATTCCAAAAGGTTGTACTTGGAGAATGGAATTTTAAATCCTATTCTTTTCTCTCTATTTCCTCCTCATCCTTCTGTTTCCCTTTTTGAGATGAAATAGAAAATAGAATATAGAATTTTGGCATTTGGTGCCACAGAACATGACGTGCAACATTTTAACTCTCAGTGTGCTTGTACTTGGATTTTGTGTTATTAAGTCATCAGTCTGCTACATTTTAAGGACTAGATGTTCTTCAATACATGAAATTAGAGAAAACATGAGACGGTAGTAACAGTCCCCATCAAGTCATCAGCTACAACTAGTGTGTGCTTGTATTATTGCGTCAACTAAATACAACTAATCAGTACATTGCTTTTATTGTATTCATAGTATATATCTCTCAAATAAGGAAGGGGTTGTGTTTATTATTATTTGTCTTTTGGTGTGTATACTTTTCTTGCATTTACTAACTTGATTTTGTCTCATATGATTATTTCACCTTTGCTTATGTAGATAATATATAACAATACACAATGAGCGAAGGAAGCAACAAACCTTGCATACACAAACGATTTACACCAGCTTTCTTCTTCTACAAGTATTATTTCTTCACACTATTCAATGTATGATTTTAAATACATGTTTTATGTTCGGTTTAAATATTAGCCCTTATTATACATTTGGTTGAACCTGTAGCAAAGATGAAAACAAAAGCATGCAAGAAACAGTTACCGACACGGTTTGCACATTGCCTACCTACCACATACTGTTTACATATTTTATATTATCTTTGTCTTTTATGTTCTACTTGCATAACTTATATTTACTTTTGAGGCAATGTAGATGAAGAAGGACATAGGACATGAATGGAGAACCCGGCAGAAGCAAGACAAGGAGTACAAAGAGATGGACATGTGGACTGTTGATAAGCAAGCCAAGTTGGAAGGTCCCCTTTATTGTTCATGGACGACAACTCCTCATTACAGAACTAGATGTTCACAAGTTATTGGGCATTCTTGCCAAAGGAAAAACCATAGAATTGAAAAATTCTTCATAAGCATTTCCCAAGCTATTTGAAGAACTTGGAGTTGTCCAAGGACCTATCAAACTGAATGCTTTGAGAGAGTATTTGACCAAAACAGAGGGAGCTGGAGAGGAATTTATGAGGATATTTGCCCTATACATGTTAGGTGCCTTCTTATGCCCAACCACAAAGGATGTTGTTAAACAATCATTCATTCACCTCATTCAGAATGTGGATGGCATGAAGGATTATAATTGGTCAAAGTTCACTCTTCAATTCTTTGTTCGTGGTTTATGCAAGTACAATTCGAAAAGTCACTCACAACCAAATGGATGCTTATTTCTTATAATGGTATGCTTCTAACCAATTACAAATTGTTTTGTTAGAAATACTTGACTTCAATGTCTTTTTCATTACATAGTACATGTTAAATTACTACATTTTTGTGATGCAGTTGTTTTACTTTGATCGTGTTGCTCCTAGTGGTTGTGATGCTGGTCGTGCTCGTTCGATCCCCTCCTTGGCTTATTGGGGTGATGCAGAAATAAAGGCGACACTGAAACTATTCCAAAAATCAGGAGGTTACCAGAATGAGGAGGTCATCCTTAGCGTATCCCTTCTTTTATGTTTGGTTTTTGTTTGTTATTTTTCATGTTGAAATGGAAAACTAAATTGTTTACGATGTGTCTATAAATAGGTTGATGTTAATTTTGTTGTTGACGAGCCAATGCAACCATTTGTACAAAGTGAGGAAATGAAAAATATGAATGATATTCGGATTTCAAAAATTGAGACGACTGTTTGTGACATGAAAAGTGTTTTGGAAGAACTAGTTGTTATTGTTAAAAGTGGAATAACTAATTCTTCCATTCCGAAGGTCATGGAAAAATGTGAGCCACTGCAAATGTCAAAACAACAGGAAGCGGGGCACGGCCATTGTAAATGTGAACCTGGCATAGTTGCACCTGGAGTTGTGGTAGAATCTACAGTTGTACCTATAGTTGAACATGTCCGCCCTATACTCGTGCCAAAACCTAATGTTGTGGTTGAATCTACGGTTGTACCTACAGTTGAACATGAGAACAATACACTCCCGCCAAAACCTAATGTTTTGGTAGCATTAGAGAACATGGAGGAAAATAGAATCCCGCTCACACCATCCAACTTGCAATTGGATGCCCATCTTCATGAGCAAACCAAACAAGCGAAGAACAAAATCAAGGTAAGATTGAACAACAATCGAAGAAAGAAAATCCCAAAACTCCAACTTATTGATGAATCTAGTTCATCCATTGGTCCATATGGCGGTCCTTGCACTCAACATTCGGATGCGCGGGTGGACATACAGTCACCTTTTACGGCCATTGCTGGTAAGAAAAGGAAAGCCACTCAGAAAGTACCAACCAAGACAAAGCTTCATTTAGATGAATCAGATTCATCTCTCGATACAAAGGAGGATAAGTTTGATCAAGTAAGTCATGTACATAATATATGTGTTATACAATGTTGCTATTCCTGTAAATATATTTTAGGATTTTTCATTATTTATTATTTATTGTTCGTTGTAATTTGTTTTAGAGTTTGAACTTACTTGGAAAACTACTTGGCCTCAATTTTGAAGCATCTGCTACTGCCATTGAGGTTATTACTAATTTCATTATTGTTCTTGATCTCCAATCCCCTTATTTTAATGCACTGCAAGAAGTATGACAATTTATTGTTTATGTGTTCGGTTAAATTCACAAGTCATCGACTACACAAATTGTGAGGCCATGTCCTTTATCTGCTGAGGAGCAAATTGTTAAGGCTTATTGTTTCGATAAGGATTTGGAAAGCAGGTAATTTTATTGCGTTTGTATGTTCCTCTCTATCACCAATAAGTGAAACTCTTCAATTTGTACATGATGCAGTGAGGATATTGTGGTCATGGAGTTGTTTTACACGCCGGTTGAATTTGCCACCCGATTCGATTTGTGCTCATTACAACCAAAAACATGGATTTGTGGTTCCGTAAGTGTTCATTTCATGCATCAATATTGCTATGTGAAGTCATTTTTAAGGATATAGGTTTCAAATTATTATTTGATGCATGTATTTCAGATTATTAATTTAGTTGTAGCACAATTGACAAACGCACAAAGGAGGCTCTTCCCTGATAAGTGTCATAGGACGTGGTACTTTCCCACATATGTATCGGTGAGTAGTCTAGTGTGTCATGTTTATGTTTGGTTATTCATGTATACTTATTGATGTATACTTGTGCATTATCAATTGTAGCAACATATTATCAATGGAGCGGACCATGCAAAGCTATGTGACGAATATTTTGGGGAGTCTCGATACACTGGGAAGCTTCATGCCTGTCAAGAAGTAATGTGTCAAGCATTCTTCCATTTCACAGGATTATTTTAAATATCCCCTCCATTTTACTAATATTTTTATTATTTATTAAGTTTTTTAGGGTATCAACGTCGTCACTATTTTTTTTTTATAAATTTTCTAAATTGGTTGGGCAACGTTGCATGACCCTTTTTTTATTATTGTCACTCAGATATATATTCCGGTGAACGACCATGAAGAACATTGGTTTTGTGTCAACATAGATATGGCACATCGCATGGCTTATATATTTGACTCGAGTCCCAGCCTCACAAATGACAAACGTCATGAATTAATGGCAAGGAAATTGGTAAGTCGTTTATTTTATTTTATTTTTTTAAAGAAAAAAAACAATCAGCTGCATCTATCTTACAACATTCATGCATAGTTCAAACAATGCATTTGTTATTGCAACAATATTTTGGAGACCTTTATGTTGCAAATGTGAAGGAGTTTGAATTAGAGAGGTTGAAAGACGCTTGTCTCCAACATAAAACCGATAGGTATTCTAAAATTTTTTCATTCGCTATTCATTTTTGGCTTTCGTATTAACATTACACACAAGTTTGACATTCATATGTATGTTGTCATGAAGCTACGACTGTGGTATGTTTGTCATGAAGTACATGCAAGGTGTTGTTATGCCGATCGGCGTACACAAGGTGACTGTTCAATGTTAACCACATAATTACACTATTGCAATTACAATGTCATATGATGGTATTGTTGATGGAAAATTTTTTGTTTTGTTTCCTTAGTTTGATAAACTGGAAAAGTTTAGGCTACTAGTTGACCTAGTGAACGATTCGTCCAACCGTATTTACATTGAGGTTATGAATAGGCTTGAACAATACAAAGAGAGGTGCATCCCCAAACCATGAACAACTTATGCCCTTCATAAACTCAGCTGATTACTTACTGAATGCAATTTCTTTTGTAACAGGTACTCTAGGCTCCGGAATGCTACAAGGAAAAAAAAAAGTTTGATTGTAAACATGGCTGTTTGAAAAAGATTGATTCGCCTTACCGTACTTTTGCCACTATGCTTATTCACAATTATGAACATATTAGATGGTTGAAGAAACATGGATGACTAAAGTAAGCCAGTTTGGTAGTATTTTGTGGACGATTGAAAAACCATATTATTTTTTGGGTTTCAATTTGTATGGAATTTATATTGTTCCTCAAGATTGGGGTGATGAAACTATTTATGATATTTAACTGTACCACATTAATCTTGGTTGTTACATTTACAATCCATCAAAAATTACACACATGTACCAAATGTTAGTGGGGAAACTGTTTTAAAAACTGGAGTACGAGTCCATGCATTGCTACATATATAGTACAAAATAATTTTTGTTGCATAATCAGTTCATGTCCAACTAAAATTGTGCCATTAGTGTATACTATCATGTACACATTTCAAATGACAAGAGTGTAACAAGAATAGTCCTTGGCAGAGTAACAAAATAACTAATAAATTTTCTAACTTTTACGTTTAAGAAAACACATAAAATGAACAATACAAAAAAAAATTAAATAAAAAATATATTGTTAATACAGAGAAAGTGATAATTCATTTCATCTCCCCACTTAGAAGGGGCGCAAAGGTAGTTCTTTGCAAATTTGGGCTAATACCAAGAACAATGACAGTATTTGCTACAAAAAAGCAATAGAGGACCTGCATTTCCTTGCTAGTAAGCAACACCTAATGTACCCTTCAACGACTTAGAAAGAAAGAACGTCTAAGAAATCTAAGGAATTATAGTTGTTAATCACATTCCGTGCATAAATATCATACTAAGTTTTGGAATCGATGTATCAACTGTGTAGTCAATTGGTATCCATAAATTTCAACAAGCTATACATACATCATTGGCATTGAACAAAAAAAAAAAAATTAATTGGACATGTCTATCAAAAATGTCGAAGCATCATACTAAATAATATTGTTGACATAAACCATCCAAATGTTGTCCATCACATAAGCCATCCATGAATCCTAACATTGTTTCAATTTTTTTTTCATAATACATGGGACAAAAAGTAACACTGTTCACAAAAGTATGGGATGATCAAAGTACCACCACTGGTTGCACAAAAATTAACATTGTTTGTAAAAAAAAGTTGACACTTTCTGCACCAAAAAGTAACACTGTATGCAAAAAAAAGTAACAGTGTCAGCTAAATCATTGGCATTGCAAACTTTGTTCAACCATCATTGTCTGTGTCCATTTGTTGGCTGTCATCATGGTTGGACCCATTAGATTCCTGCTCACTATCATTAGAACTAGTTGAATTCTCAAAATCTTCACCACAAAAGGCTTTCCGCATTTTTTTTTAGCTCTAACTTGACCTTCCTCATGTCTTTCTTGTGCTGTAATTCCATCCGGTTCAATATGGACACAGCCTCGTACAAACGAGTTGATATGCTCTCCAATGAAGTAGGATCTTGTCTTTCACGGTGCTTTCGACTTTGCCCTTGTGTTTTCCCATACGTTCCACGACCTATGTGGCTCATCTGCCCCTTCCATTCATCATCTGGTCGAGTCGGTACACAAAGCTCAAGTAGCATATCAGTCACGAGGAGGCCGAATGGTAATGCTGCATGTGGATTGTTAGCTTTTGCGACGGAATCCACAACTTGCCAAATTATCTTTGGAACATCTAGAGGGCTGAAATTATGGACAGCATACAACATGAGTGCTCGTTCATGGTCAAAAGTGGATTTCACCCCCCTTGGGTCAAGATTGTACCACAAGATAAGATGAAGAACGGCAAGGTCAGGCTTAAGAAACTTTACATGATACTTGTCTTGTGGTATGACTCCTTCAATGTACAAATCATCAACAATTTGGGCTTCATTAGGAAGGTCAACACCAGGAAGGTATGGATATTGTGTTTTGTCATCATGTGTTGGTCGCTGAATGTCTAAGAATTTTGATATGCAATCTGCAGAAAACACCACATCTTTCCCCCTCAGTTTTGTTTTCAGAATCAAGTTCTCTGTATCAGTTGGCTTTTGTATGCTACCAAAGAATTCCCGTACCAGGTTGACATTAGCCTTCCCTTCCCGTTCGATTAGGTTTTGGATATGCAGGTGGCCCACAATTGCTGGAATATCAGTATGAGTTAACTCCTTCAACTTGACAGCCCGTTCTACCGTAATAGCCCGTTTAGCAAAAATACCATGGTCAACGTGAGGAGCTTCCACTTTTCCTTTACTCGGTTTTTTTGTTGTCTTTTTCCGTGGCATCTTCAAGTTTGATTAGTTGCTGCTCTGAATCAAGGAATATTACCCAATAATCACGGACAACTTCCACAGATTCCCGATGTAGAAGCCTAACACAAAAAATAGTAGATAAGCAATAGTTATTGTGCAAAAACTAACTACAAGATATAAGAAAGTAAAACAAAAAATCTAACATGGGCACTTGTTATAAGAACTAACAAGAAAGAGTACATGCTTCAGGGGAAAAAAAAATTGGCAGAACAATAATACCAGCTGGCTCCTATTTCTGAAATTAAGTTCTTTTTATTAATGCGTAATAAAAGCACAGTCAGAAATTGAAAGAGAGTTCATCTCATTCAAATTGCACTAACGGCTAGGAGTGGATTGATACCATACAATAGTACAATCAAATTAAAATTTAATCCAATAGTGTTCCAATACAATTAAGAGCTTCTAAGTTTGTGTGTTCAACTACTAACCTCAATTGCACCCTTATATAGAAACTTCTAAGAAGACACCTATATAAAAAACAAATATAATGCCATTTTGTGTTCACATACCTCAGAAGCAGCAGAAGGAACTGAGTCACTTTAGGAGTGTTCACATGCCTTATATAGTCACTTTAACTGTACTGTTAGGACATTTTTCGTCCATATTTGGGGAAAAATAGAAACTTTAGCTGGAACATTATCAACAACTGAAAAGATTGTTTCTGGTTTGGCGAGCGTTTTATTTACAGAAAATTTACTCTTTAAGATGGGTCAAGTAACACAAGAAACTATTATATATTTATTAGAAAACAAAAAATTACAACAGTTCTTTTGTGTGGTGCAAAGCAATGGTGCACGTTTAATCGTCCCTAAAAGTGAACACATCTAGGAAAATGAAAAAGATAACAATTGTAGACCCTAAATTCCCAACCAAAAAAGGTGAAGTTTAGATTTGAAAAGAAGAAATGAAATAGGTATAGAAAACCAGTTACAAAACACAAAAGTGAAACTTGCTATACTATAGAACATTAATGTACAGTATTTCATTCCAAATCTGTTAATCCCATAACCGTTGTGAAGATTCTCTCTTCACAATTCTTCCTTCCATCCTTTTATGACCTTGTCGATGAATCCCTCAATTCTGTTCTCCAAATCATTGTTAAATTCGTCTTTATCATCATCCTAACCAACAACACCATCGCTACCATTGTCATCGTTTTCTTCATCGTAACCATCCGAACCATGATAAATGGCTTATATATTTTTGTCATCGTCATCATTGTAATTGTCGTTGTACTTGCTGCCGTGTTGGCTGCTCTGCTCCTCATAGGTACTGTCTGTGTATTCGGTGTGCTCTTCCTTTACTCCATAACGAAAGTGGAGGACAGGCAAGAATGGATCAAGTACATCAGTAGATGATGGGCTGTAACTTTTGACAATAACGACGCATATAGCATGAAACACCAAAAACATGAAAAGACGACTACATGAAAATCCGAGAATTTTGTGATATAATGTCACAGAGAAATTTAGAAGTGCCACATAAGTAGCTGCACATAGAATGAGCACTAGAAGTACTGGTAACCAGACAAGTCTCACGCCATGTGTTGCGTACAATTGGTTGATGTGGGTAACCATTTTATAGGTCTATATCAGACTTATGGAATAGGCAAGAGATATTTTCTCAGAAAGTGAATAGGCAAGAGTTATTGTTCTCAGAAAGTTTAAATATAATATATTCTCAGTTTACATTTGAGATATAGACAGATTGATCAAGTCTATTCTAGAAAAGTTGAAATTTTCAAGCATAGTTTGTAAAGTAATGGCATGAGCAAGTCTTTATTTTATCAACAATCAAACAAATTTAGAGTTTATTCACCTTTATTTTTCAAATTAATCTCCAAACTACGAAATTTATTAAGTCAAAAATATTAAAAAAATATTAAGTCAAATATTTCAATGGAAGAAACACGCAAGTCAAAATATTAAAACATAGGCAATTTTTGAATTTGTAATTAAATTGGAAAAATGTTTTAGGAAAATTCTTCCAAACACAATTCACTTTTTAAGAAACACCAGTTTATTCACCTTTATTTTTCAAATTAATCTCCAAACTACGAAATTTATTAAGTCAAAAATATTAAGTCAAATATTTCAATGGAAGAAACACTCAAGTCAAAATATTAAAACATAGGCAATTTTTGAATTTGTAATTAAATTGGAAAAATGTTTTAGGAAAATTCTTCCAAACACAATTCACTTTTTAAGAAACACCTAAAATTTAATTGTGTTAGTTTCAAATGTGTCTAACACATGTGTAGACATGAGAATATCCAACATTTGTCATGATTCATTAGTCCGCTCAACACCTTTGATTTTTACCCATAATGAGGATTCTGCATCTTCTATGACCTGGGTGAATGAAGGTAGCCTTGCATATGGATTTGGATCATTACAGTCAAGTTACTGTACTCTCACTTGTTATAAGCAGTTGTAATTTTTACTCTCGACTGCTTCAAAATGAAGATTATTCCATGATTCGGATCTCTTATGTGAGCAAATAGCCAAATAAGCTCAAGTCCTAATTTGACTGCATCAACAGCCTCAAGTCCAAAATTTTCTTAGATGCTTTTAGTTTTAAGGAAGTACATTTGCAAAGTTGGTTTAATGGTACGCTATTGTTTGAATGACAACTTGGGTTCATGTTACTAAATTTTTTGTTGGGTGATGAAGTTGTTTATATTTTGACAATGCACATCTCCATCATCTCTTATTATACCTACGCATCGATACCATACCATTCCACTATAAGCATAGTTATGTGTCACCTAACAGCAATGTCCACCATTTCTTACCAAGCAAACAGACAATTAAAAAAATCTACAAAAGAGAAATAGAGACAGTTCAGTATTATTAACAATGATTGTTTGTAAAGTAATGGCATGAGCAACTCCCTATTTTATCAGCAATCAAACAAATTTTGAATGTTTTCACCTTTATTTTCAAAATTATTCTCCAAACTACGAAATTTATTAAGAATGCCTAAGATTAAAACAACTAACACATTAACAAAACATAACTACTAGCCACTAATGTCTCCTTGTAAAAACAATGTTTCGATCACTGTAAGCCTCATCATGAAAGTAAACTACAGTGGATCATTTGGACAAATTGGCAATTCATCGATATCATCCGTGTGGGGATCCAACTCTGTGTTCATGAATGGTTCACTGTCTGAGTTGCTACCCTCTCTGTGGCTACTTGAAGCCAATTTTTTACACGTCCGCTTCGTGTGTCCAATGCTCCTACAGTAGCAAATAATGCATAAACGATTTTAATAATCATATGCATGTAACAGGATATTAAAAGGTCATACAATGAAAGTACCATACCTACAATACCCACACCGCCTTGGTTTTGGAGGTTTACCCATAGAAGATGTCCCTCCGGGGTTCCCTTTGGTCTTCACTACATTCGGATCACCAACGCCATATAGTTTGGGTGCAATATTTTTGTCCCCAGCCTCGGCGTTACCTTCTTTTCTCATTGCCCAACGTTTTTTCATCTGCGATGTCAGCTGGAAAGCTATTTCCCTTGCCTCTTCAAAATCTTTGTCCGCGTGTGAGGCATAATATGACATTTCACTAAAACAGGAGCTGAGTATACCAAACCGAGCTGTCTGTGTTAGGGTGCTACAAATTTGGGTAAGACTTGGTTGTTGACACTTTGACCTACCACGTCTTGTCCATCTCTGCAAGACACAACTCGGTGGAATACACATTAATTGTTCAGATTTCATAACAGCAATCATGTGGCAGCAAGGGATGCCAAACGACTCAAACTTCAAGCAACAACATTTCATTGTGATATTAGCTGGAAAATACTCAACCGTCCACGTGCATGTTGGTGCCTTGTACTCACCAAAACGGTAGGTGCGATGATCCTCAAGCTGAACTCTTTCCATCACAAACAATTTACCCTCTTTCCTGATTTCATGTTGAAACAATGAGAAAATCTTCCGAGTAAAGAGTTCAGCTGCATGTTTCTCCAAACTCCTCAATGGCGTAGTCAAAACCGGGAAACTATTCTCTGTTTTAGATTCTGTTTCTGCCTCATTAACACGCATTCTAGCAAGAGCCCTATCATACTGCGCTACAAATTCATACAGCCTAACCTTTTGGTTTAGGAATATATTGAAATATGCATTTATACCCTCGACACGTTGAGTGCTCCTCATTCCAGCAAACATGCGACCACGGAGATATGCCTCAGCCCAATTATCACGCTTCAGATGAATATCCAACACCCAGTTATTGTTCTCCAACTTGTACTGTTTCACCATAGCAGCCCAGGCATTGTCAAACTCATCAATTTTACATTTCTTCAACATCAACTGTGCAAAATCAGTTGTAAATTCTGGTATGTGGACATTTGTTGAGGCATTTTTCTCCAGATGCCAAGAACATAAACGATGTCTGCAGTTTGGAATAACTCTTTTGATTGCCTGACGCATTGCCCTATCACCATCTGTTACAACGGAGATGGGTCTTTTACCATCCATGGCCTCCATTAACATTTCCAGCACCCACGTGTATGTCTCCATTGTCTCATCAGGCAACAAAGCACATCCGAATATAGTTGTCATGAAATGGTTACTCACGCCAGCTAGAATTACAAATGGCTTCTTATATGCATTTGTACGATAAGTTGTATCAAATACCAATACATCACCAAATGCAGCATAATCCATTCGAGACCTACAATCTGCCCAGAAAATCTTGTCCAACCGGTTGTCCTTATCGACGTTGTATTTGAAAAAAAATAATGGATCTGCATCTAATTTAGCTGACAAGTATCCTAACGCACCCTCTGCATCCCCTTCTGCGAGTTGTACTTTGCGCTCAGCTTGGAATTGATTGTGCAAATCTCTGTGAATGAAGCCCACCTTCTCATAACCCCCTGACTAATGGACCATAAAATCCATGATCTGACTCGTTTTCATACCCACATTGCGCATGGCCTTTGCTTGAGCTTGGTCTGCACTTGTTACAAACCTATGCGACCAAAGAAAAGGGACGCAGTGTGGTGCTGCCAACGGATGGTTGTGTTCCCCTACAAAGTGGGTCACAACATATTTCCTAGCTGTCTTGTCATAACGCACACGAAATGTGGCATTACAAAAAAGTCTAGTTTCTGCCCTAGGAGTTCTTACCCGTTCCACACGTTGCAAGTATTTCTTTTCGCTTACACCTTCCCTTGGACAAACCCATTTCCTACTCTCTACAAATTTGTTGTCTCCACTAATTCTTTTTCTACTTCTTCGTACGCTAAAACCGATGACCTTAGCGTATGCATTGTAGAAAGTATAAGCATCATCCTCTGAATTGAATTTCATTTGCAACACATCTTCCTTAGTAAGCATTCGTAAACTATCATAGGTTTGGGAAGCTAACCCTTCTTTCACATCAACAACATCATCCTTGCCATCTAGAGCAAATTGATCATCAATTTCAATATTGACCTCTTCATGCCTACTACTTTCAGGTTCATCCATCGTATATACACTTGTAAGTACCCTATTAGCAATTAAAACGAAACAAATCAACTAAAAAACACACATGCCATTGCGCTGCTATAATTTACATCTCCAGAACAAATAAATATAATAGCACACATATGGGTCTTTTACCATCCATGGCCTCCATTAACATTTCCAGCACCCACGTGTATGTCTCCATTGTCCGGCGTACACAAGGTGACTGTTCAATGTTAACCACATAATTACACTATTGCAATTACAATGTCATATGATGGTATTGTTGATGGAATATTTTTTGTTTTGTTTCCTTAGTTTGATAAACTGGAAAGGTTTAGGCTACTAGTTGACCTAGTGAACGATTCGTCCAACCGTATTTACATTGAGGTTATGAATAGGCTTGAACAATACAAAGAGAGGTGCGTCCCCAAACCATGAACAACTTATGCCCTTCATAAACTCAGCTGTCTACAGTTGTACCTCTAGTGGAACATGTCAGCCCTATACTCGTGCCAAAACCTAATGTTGTGGTTGAATCTACGGTTGTACCTACAGTTGAACATGAGAACAATACACTCCCGCCAAAACCTAATGTTGTGGTAGCATTAGAGAACATGGAGGAAAATAGAATCCCGCTCACACCATCCAACTTGCAATTGGATGCCCATCTTCATGAGCAAACCAAACAAGCGAAGAACAAAATCAAGGTAAGATTGAACAACAATCGAAGAAAGAAAATCCCAAAACTCCAACTTATTGATGAATCTAGTTCATCCATTGGTCCATATGGCGGTCCTTGCACTCAACATTCGGATGCGCGGGTGGACATACAATCACCTTTTACAGCCATTGCTGGTAAGAAAATGAAAGCCACTCAGAAAGTACCAACCAAGACAAAGCTTCATTTAGATGAATCAGATTCATCTCTCGATACAAAGGAGGATAAGTTTGATCAAGTAAGTCATGTACATAATATATGTGTTATACAATGTTGCTATTCCTATAAATATATTTTAGGATTTTTCATTATTTATTGTTCGTTGTAATTTGTTTTAGAGTTTGAACTTACTTGGAAAACTACTTGGCCTCAATTTTGAAGCATCTGCTACTCTACTTGCATCACTTATATTTACTTTTGAGGCAATGTAGATGAAGAAGGATGTAGGACATGAATGGAGAACCCGGCAGAAGGAAGACAAGGAGTACAAAGAGATGGACATGTGGACTGTTGATAAGCAAGCCAAGTTGGAAGGTCCCCTTCCCACAAAACCAAGAAAGG